TTCCTTCTTACCCTCTCATGCTACTTATGTCTTCTATCTTATATACAGCTATATTACACGCCCTCTGGCATAACAGCTGTTGGTTTGAATCATAGTTTTATTTTACCTTGCACAGAAGGACTCTAAGAGATAATAGGATGCTACTGTATTGTTAAAGATGAACTGAGTAAGCTATTAATTGCTGTGGCTAGGTACATCTGGGCAGTTGGGATAAGCCCAACAGCAGTTGCATTGTTTCCAAAAAACTACTTATCAGTAACACTCCAGGGAACTTTAGAAGTTTTTTCTAGTCAGCGTTACATGCAAGAAAAAAACTCAAAGCTTAGTAGGTCTTTCCTTTGTTACCTAATAGTCAGGGTGGAGAAAGAAAAAACTCATGCCAGTAAAGAAAACATAAACCTATTCTATAACATTTTTTTAATGTAAGCTTTATCTCAGATATATATTAAGTCTAAAGAAAATCCTCAGCACTCTAATAATAATAACATAGTTGTTTAAAGGGAAAATAAGAAATCTGAACAGTTGCTTTTCTTATCCAAGAATCACCTATACAGGACAAAGGGAGAGCCCTACCCATCGATACAGAAGGTTCTGCCTTCAAATATGTTATCTGGCTGATGAGCTTCAGGTCTTCAACAACCCTGCTGCAGGATTGCCTCTTCCCATCTAGCCACAGGTCTCCATACTCTATGGCCATTTCTGTTTTAACTGCCAGAGAGAACAGATTCTCACTCGATAGCCAAAGTGTTTTCTCTTTTTTTAGGGGTGGTAGAAATAGCAATGAAGCATGTCCTCGGTTTATGACCAGTCACTTGGCGAACGTTCAAAGTTATGACAGACCTCCCTGCAGTCATACAACCGCATTTTACACAGGAAGTAAATGCCAGTCTTCAGCAAAACCAGCCCACAGCATGATTCCATTAATGACCATGGCATTTGCTTAATGACCATCACAGAAAAGGTTGTAAAATCAGGTCAGGCACTGGTGACCCAATTTACAACTGTCACAAGTTACAACTGCAGGCTGCATTAGGATAGTAACTCAATAACTTTCTGTGTATCAGTCAGCAACATTCCAGGTTGCTCTCCCACTCCCTCTGCCATTAAGGAGTTTTGGGTGTTTTTTTCCCCAGCAGCACTCAGAAACATCGAGGCCATTTTCAAACTCAGTCTTTCTTTCACCAGCTTCTTTGACCATGCCAAACATAATTCCAGTGTGTTTAGATTTTGGAAAATAACCTTGCTCAATGACAGATGGATGGATAGGGCCCTATCAAGTAAACTTTTCTTAAAACTCCATTGGGTTAAAAGTATAAAAATATAATTTGCTTACAAAAGCCCTCCTGCGCAACACAGCGTATTGCTCTATGTACAAATTACTGGCCATATTAACTTTTCTTCAGTTGTCAACACCCCATTAAAAGAATCAAATGATACAGTACTTTCACCTTGTTGTTTTTCCATGGAAACAAGTGCCTCTGTAACTACCAGGATGCTAAAAATATTAAAGATAAAGGAGAGGCAGGGCCCTAAACTCAATCAAAAGACTAGGTGGATTCCATTAAAGCATTCCAAGTCTAGAATGGGTTATAGACCCCTTGCAGAGACTGTTTGTGAGAATTCTGTTGTTTTCAGATGCTTACTTTTTGTATTGTTTGTATTCTATTGTTTTAGATTATAAAGTCATAATGGAATGGAGGGACCTAACATTTTTATAAACAAATAAATTAATGGATATTTCGTATGTTTATGAAAGCTGTGGGCTTAAATATACTTACTTTCATGTTAGACATATTGGATTGGATGAAGATCGTTCAGGAGTGTATATCTATAGACTTGTGACTTAGAAACAGTAATTTAGTCACATTTACTCAAAAGCAAGACTATTAATATCACTCATTTTAATAAAAAAGGTGGACTTGGCATATATACTCTTTTCTCAGAATAAGTATACTGAAGGATTTGTTTTCAATTATACAGTATATTACCATCCAGCTGCATTCATTAAATCACAAGCCAGTTCAAGTTTATTCAGAATTAATTCCATTGGGTTAAATGGAATTCACTTCCTACTATGCTTGAGATTAGAATTGGTCAGGGAAATGTTCAATCTTTCTTTAAGCATGGATGGATCACCTCAAAAATGTATTTCTGAAGATGTTTTCCTACAAAAATGGGGAAGTTATTTTAATTAGCTTCAATCAGCACTTATTTTGCATTTATTGAGTTCTTTGACCCTATTTGATTCAAATCTTCTGCCTGTATGCTTTATTTTGCCAATCAATTTAGATTGTTCCTTAATCTTATTAGTACATATGAAGTCCCTGAAAGCTTTTGATGGGGCTTTGAAAGCTAATTCAAAGTGTTCAAATGGCCTGTAAATCTGAATTATGACAGAATGAGAAAATTATTAAATATATCATCATCATCCTAGTGTTACTCCCACAGGTGCAGAGTCCTCTTTTTGGATCAAAAAATGTCATCTTGCACAGCATCCAGGCCATCTCTGCATTTTGAGAGAGATGGCTGTAGATCCATTGGTTGCAACAAAAAATTGATTGGCCAGCTTGTTGTATAGGCCTGGCATTGGTTTGGTCTATATTTAGCTCAGCACTGTCCTGGCAGGTGGGCAGTATCCAGCGGCAGCACTAGGAGGAGCAAACCCAGGGGTGAAATGCTCCCGGTTCAGACCAGATTGCCCGATACCAATAGCAATGGCTGTGGGTGGTTCGGAGAACCGGTAGCAAACATCCCTGCCCCCCACTTCCACCGAAAAAATGCTTTTAAAAGTTTTTTTAAAAAAGCCTCTGATGATCGCGCAGCTCAGCTGGGATGTCAGAGGCTTTTAAAAGCATTTTTTCTACAACCTCTTTGGCCAAAGAGGTTGTAGAAAAAATGGTTTTAAAAGTTAAAAAAAAAAGTTGGCCACGCCCACCCAGTCACATTGCCCCCCCACCAAGCCACACCCACAGAACTGGTAGTAATAAATTTTACATTTCACCACTGAGCAAACCTCACCACCAAAATTATGATCTGGAGTAATAATCATGTTAACTATCATTTAAAAACTAAAACCCCTGGCCAATGCACATTTTTGTAGTGCAACCTTCAGTGTTCAAATCTACTAGTCATTAGCATGGGGAAATGTGTACACACTTCTAATAAAACTGTTATCTTTTATTTGTAAGAAAACCGGGGGGGAGGGGATTCATGGTTCTTGTCATCTTTTCAGTGGATTAATAAAGTTATTGCTTTCCTTTACTCCAGATATTTTCATAAAACCTGATGGGTGTCACCTTATTTACATTTCCTTGTAAATTAACCCCATTATATTTAATGTAGATTCCAATATATAGCGTTTGAAGATTATGAAAACATGTTACGTCCTCAAGGATTCTATTTATGATGATGTAAAGGAGCAGCAAGAATATAATTCTTTCTCCCATGTATTGGCCTTCCTCAATTGATCTGCACTTGTAGAATATGAAAGTATGATAAAAAACATGGCCTTTATTTTTGTTAGAAAAATGGAATATAAAATCTTGATAAAGGAACCTCTGAGTAGCTCTACATAAAGTACATTATCTAGGAAAAGTTTCTTAATACTTCATAATAACAAAGCAGTGTGCACTTTATGCAATGAATTGGTAGGCACATTTGGACTTTTCCAAGCTTGTGGTAGAGCTCTCTCAAAATGGCTGACATCAGGGCTAGTTCATTACAAGACATTCATTCAATAGGCAGCAGCCTTATTGCTCCCCCCATACTCCCTACCAATAAATACCCTGGGTGCAGTTAGGCATCCATCATTTTATCTTCTAAGAAAGCTTATGAGGCCCAAAGTTATTCCTGGAAATAAAAGGCCAGAATGGCATTTTGCTCTGCTCTGCTGCAGGCCAGTTTTTTCCTTTCTCTCCCTTTCTCTATAGGGAAACCAATCCCCCTCCCAAAAATTAGCAGCACAAGCACCAAAGGAGGCAGTCCATATAGGCACAGAATTTAATCATGCACATTTGTGTGATACATATGCAAGGAAAAGTATTCTTGCATATGTATCACACAAGGGTGATGTGCTCTTCTCTTTACAAGGATTGTATTTTAACTTGCAAATTATCTAAAACCTTTCAGAAATATGTGGCAAGCAGGAATGGTATTGTTTATACTAATACCTCATTATGCCAGAGACTGGTGGCACTAAGTGTATACTCAGGACCCTGAAATGTTAAAATCAAATACAAAAAGTATTTTTAAAGCCAGTAAACTGAAAGATATGACTCCTGGAAATCTGTAATTTTCTTCTTAGGGAGCCTGCAATGAACACACACCTCCAACCTAGAGTAGTTACTACCTCTCAATTTCTTATTTGAAAGAAAAGATGCATCAGAAATGGGGGGGGGGGGGCGATTATATCTTAACCACGTTTACATCCCAAACTAAACGTGGAGTTCCCCACGTTATACATTCCCACGGTCAATTATCCCAGGCCAGATTTACAAACAAGAAACCCAGGACTTTTGACCCCCAAAATAAACCTTTACACACCAATCGCCAACACATACATTGTGTGGCAGAGTCTCGGCTAGATTTGGGCCGGCCTTAAATTATATTCCAAAAAAAATTCCTGTTAAATCAGCTTCAACCCTATTTAGGGTCATTGAGCTTCTCAAATCACGAAACGTATTCGCCCCTCACCCCTTCAAACGAAGAAACAAAGCAAGGGAGCAGTGATGTTTTTTTAAAGTTTTGCACAGCGTTCCCTCCCATGCCTTCCTCATCTTTTGAAGCGAGGGGAAAGGCAGCAGCTACGGTAGCGCTCCCGCCGTTGTTTTCCTTTTGTTCTTCGCAGTTCAGCGCAGCCGCTGCTTTTTTTTTTCCCCGAGCCCTCTAAGCAGCCTTTTAAAATCACCCTTGCTGCTTTCTTTTATATTTCCTCCACCCACAGGTGATGATGCAGACGCCGAATGGCTCCTCCTCCTTCCCCTTTACCCTCCCTCCCCCTCTTTCTCTCTTCCACTGGAAGAGCTAAGCTCCCCTTAGCCAGTCAGCCTGCCCTTATTTAATTTGGAGTGTGATTTTGCTATTTTTAGCTTCTGGATTCTCTCCAGTAAGATTTAGAGGAGGCTTTTTTTCCCTCTTACTTTTTTAATTCTGCAAATGATTTTGACCCAGCTTCCTTCCTCCTGGAACATTTTTTAAAAATTTTATATAAATAAGAGGGGGGCTGTCTGCTTATACGCTGTTTCTCTCTCTCTTTTTTTTTTTCCACTGCAAGTCTCCCTGCCTTCTGCTTCAGATCTGCAATTGCAACCATCAGCAACCAGAAGGGGGGATTATTTTCATTTCACCACAACACACAAGGAAAAACGTATACAGATTCGCGAATAAGAGTAATTGTAAGTTGGTGATTTCAAAAAAAAAAAAAAAAAGTTGCGTTAATCTTATTTTACATTTGCAGAATTTAGAACCGGATTTTGCAAAGTCATTTCAGTTTGCAAAAAAATGTATCTGTGCTCGGAATTTACAATAGGAAGCAAGTAAGGCATGCGGAATAAAATACTCTCCAGCCTTTTATTCTCAGCGTGCATGCAAGTAAGAAAAGAAGGGTTATATGTGCGGGAAGGGAGGTCTTAGCAGAGCTCATTGGATTGGGGAAGGCGGAATGGCCTTGTAATTTGTGGCTAAGTGGGTATGGTTTTTCTCAAGCACTTCGCCTTTAATGTTAAATTCTAATGCACTTGATCCGGATTTTATTCAGGGTGGAAAACTGATGGATGTTTTTCTACAGATCACGGGTCCGATGGTTAGAATTCCTTTTCTTGTCTCTTTTTTTATTTTTTATTTTATTTTTTAACGCCGGAAGAGAGTAGGTAGCGGTTAGAACTGCTTTGCTTATTGCAACTTGCTCCTATCTACGAGACTCCCATAACATTGGAGCTCTGGCGGCTGGTGTTTCGGGTTTCTCTGCTCCCCCCCCCCCCACCCCTTCTCGAGATCCTAGATCCTTACAAATACATGCACGCTGGGGCTGTGTTCATTTTCAAATCGCGCGACACTACTTTCGTCCACTTATTAATTTTTTCAGTGGGTTTCTTCCAATAAACATGCAGATCTGGAAAAAAATTTGTGTGTGTGTGTGTGTGCAAATAGCAGGTGCATTGGGCTTTCTAGAAACACCCCCTTCCGCTCTTTTAAAGGGGAAGATGCCAGAGCTTTCGTTTTCTTTTAAAGGAAATTGGTATAATCTGAGCTATAGTTTTTCAGATGTTGAAATGATTGGTAAATTTAACTAGATTTTCTGTTAGAGGAATTTACTTTATTCATTTCTTTGTAAAGCCTGTGTATCGTTTTTGGCTTACATTTTTGAGCAACACTTGTGGCTGTTGTTGGGAGGGGGGGTCCCACACTACTGCCCAAAATATGTATATTTAGTTTCAGTGAGCTGCAACTACTGATTTTGAATGTTTGTTTTTTCATTAAAGGCTCTGATTAGGCAGATTCAGATTCCAGTCTTGATGTAATGAATTGCTCAATTTGAAAATATTGGAGAACTTAAATCAAAAATATGTTCAGACATGAAAGTAATGCACCTAGCCAGCATATTATTAGTGCTTAGCTAACTGATGTTGGCAGAATTGGGGAAGTGTCTTGAAGAGGCACCTCAACCTAATTAAGGAGTGGTTGGAAGAGAGTGTGTGGGTGTTTCCTCTTTCTACTGATCAGGAGGGTTAGTTTTAGTGGAAAAGGAGAAGATGGAGTGTGTAACTTTCCCTATCAGTGTTCTCTTATATAAAGCTGGTTGCTAACTTTAAAAAAATGTCATTTACCATTTTTCCTCTTCACAAAGAGGATCATACTCTCCCTCCCCCACAAATCAAGGCCTTGTGGGACTGAACATTTGTGTCCTGAACGACAGCTCTTCAAAAGTTTCCAGTTTTGTTAACCTTCCTGTGTGGCCCTCCAGCCTTCCTTATCACTTCCTTTTGTTATGTGCACTTCAAGTGGGGCTGGCTGTTTTTAATGGCCCATCTTCTGGGGCTTCAAAAGAATTCCCCTGGAATGCTCCATTAAGGGATCTCCCAAGCCAGCTCTATTTTCAAACAGGCTCTTCAAATTTGTGATTTGGTGTTTATGTGTTTTCCTCCAGCATATTGTAAGCAAACCCAAGCCTTTGCCCAGAAGGTGCCCCAGCTCCTGGGAGGACACTGTGCTGCTTGGATTTAGACCAGCCATTTTGGATTGAGCAACCTGTTGTCTTTCAAAATTTAATTTGTTATTAATCAGATAGAAGCAAACAGTTGTGGCGCAAGCAGGGTGTGGGATGGGAACATGGAAGGAGAATTGGCAGATTTCTGAGGAGAAAAATAACCCCAGAGGATTGCTGTTTCTAAGGGTGATAGGTTGCGACTGCTGGCATTCAATTTCATTTTGAGGAATGGGTGATCTCTTTGGCCCTAATAGCTGTCTAGAATAATATGTAGTGATGGAGGGAAGCTGCATAAGCATTTTCATTTTTTTCCATCCAGATAAATATATCCATGGATTCTCAGTCTTCCTGGCAGTCACTATTTTAGGATGTAGACACAGGATGATTTACATTTTCCTGCATTCATTTAAAACGAGATTAACGTTCATTGTTGTAGCATAGTGTTGGTTTTCTTGGTTTCTTCATGTTGGAATAAGACTTTCCAAAATCTGAATCAATTGTTTGTCAATTTGGACAGTACAGGTAATCCTTGACTTACAACGGTTCATTTAGTGACCATTTGAAGTTACAATGGCACTGAAAAAAGTGACATGGCCATTTTTCACAATTATGACCATTGCAGCATCCCCATGGTCTCATGATTTACATTCAAATGCTTGACAACTGGTTCATATTTATGACACTGTGTCCCAAGATCATGTGATCACCGTTTGCGACCTTCTGACAAGCAAAGTCAATGGGGAAACCAGATTCACTTAACAGCTGTATTACTAATTTAACAACTGCAATGATTCACTTAACAAATGTGGCAAGAAAAGTCATAAAATGTGGCAAAATTCACTTAACAAATTTTTCACTTAGCAACATAAATTTTGGGCTCAATTGTGGTCGTAAGTCAAGGGCTACCTATGCAAAGAAAGTGAGTGGGGATGATTCTTGCCCTTCACTGCTTTCTCCATCAGCAGATGCAAAAGGGCATTCAGTCATAGCAAGTACCTGCAAAGGATGTAAATTGCCTTTAAGTATAGCCTCATCAAAATTCATCATCTCCAGAAATCCTGAAATTTGTGGAAGTATATATTATTTCCATAATAATATATTAATTTATACATTATTACCATAATGTTTATTTTGGCGTTTTGTCACAAATCATTTACCATTATTTAACATAAATAATATAAATTTATGTATAATTTGTATAATTATGTATAAATCAGATGACGATGAACAGATCTAGCCTGTTCTACAAATCATGTTTAAAACAAGCCATAGCTTGATGCACTGTGTAGACAATCATTGAATTAGACAAATAAGCTAGCAAGCAGTTCATGGAAAATGGCAAATTCCTAAGAGAAATGGAAAACATCCTTGTAATAATGGTCTGTGTAAAATACAGAAGTTTGATTGGTTGTGTTTTCCATGTGATTCTAATGATAACTGTTAGAAGATACCCTTCCCAAATTGGGAATTGCTATTGTAAATCTAAGAATTATCTATTAGGTTTGCAACAATTCATGTTCATCCAGCTGACTTTCATTGATCAAAGTGCTGTGATAATAAGTTACATAGTCTCTCTCTGGTGTAAAAGTTTTAGTCCAATTTTAGATAATAACTTTATTGTCATTGTACGTGTATAGACAGTATACCCATACAATGAAATTCACTTAACACCCAAAGACCAGGTCCAACACACATAACAATCCCCAAACACACTCTCCCCACCACAAATTCCCCACCCCTAAAACCACCCAAGCATCCACACAACAGACCAAGTAATGCTGTCCAACAGCTCACTGATGGTGGCCCTTTAGTTCATTGTTGAGTGCAATTATAGCTCTGGGAGTAAAAACTATTCAGAAAACGTGTGGTTTGAATTTTAATTGTTCTGTATCTTCTGCCAGAAGGCAACAAGATTGTAAGCAGGATGGGAAGAGTCTCTGAGAATGTTATGCAACTTCATCAAACAGTGAGATTCAAAGATGTCGTCCAGGGCTGGTAGCTGGAACCCAATGATATTCTGGGCAGTTTTAATTATTCTCTCTAGAGCTTTTCTGTCCGCTGTCCGATGGATCACTGCCTAAATGAAATTTTTAGACATTAATTAGAGCTAGTTTGCTGTAGTGATTAAGGTGCTCATTTTGAAACCAGGAAACTCTGAGTTCTGGTCCAGTCTTAGCATGAAAGCCTGTTGAGTGGCTTTGGGCCAATCACTGTCCCTCAGTCCAACCAACTCACAGGGCTGTTGTTATGTGGAAAATAGAAGGAAGAAGGAGTATTATGTATATTTCCTGCCTTGAGTTACTTATAAAGTAATAAAGGCAGGATAGAAAAACTAATAAAATAAATCTTTATTTTTTAATTTATCTGAATTTAAATTTATCTGAAAATTTATTTGAAAAAATTGTCTGTTTAACAGACAATTGAGGAGGATCGAGTATGTGTATATCCAGATGTCTGTTAAATACAAATTTACATCATCTGTTTCAAATGATGAAAATGTGTATTAATCACACAGACTACTTTGAATGCTAAAGACTTATCCGTTATTTGGAGTGCTGCAAATCTGGTATGTTGCAGTGAAAGTCTAATAAAACAGGATTCATTAAATCATGGGTTCACTATGATCTGACAGGTGCAATATGAATACTATTCTTGCTGCAAGTAGTTTTTATTCAATTTATTTGATTTGATAATTATTTACATATGTATCCTTGTTATTGTTTTGGAACCTGGTATAGTTCTGATATTATATGTAGTCCTCGACTTACAACCATTCGTTTAGTGACCATTTGAAGTTATAACCACTGGAAAAAAGTGACTTAAAATTGGTTTTTACAACTATTGCAGCACCCCTGTGGTCATGTGATCAGAATTTGTGCACTTGGCATCTAGCATATATTTATGACGGTTGCACTGTCCCAGGGTCATGTGATCACTATTTACAACTTTCCCAGCCAGCTTCCAATAAGCAAAGTCAATGGGAGAAGCCAGATTTGCTTAATTATGTGATTCACTTAACAATTGCAGCGATTCTCTTAACGACTATAGCAAAATGCTTATAAAATGGGGCATAACTTACTTAACAACTACCTTGCTTAGCAACAGACCACAAGGAGATTTTGGCTCCTTGTGGTCATAAACTGTATAAAGCATTAATCCCTAAAAGTAAAAGAGCTATAGGCCAAACTA